AGGTTCTTCCATTGCTTTTCGCGACTTTTAATAAAATCTCTGTGCAGCCTGGTTAGATGGGAGAACACATTATGGGTAACACATGTTGTTCACAGATTACTGTGATAATGCAAAGACCTTGTGAAGCCTAAATGAAAACTGTATCCTATGCGATATGAAATTTCCTAAGGGCAAATATGCTTTCTTTCCCCCTGCCTTGTTATGTCTGTAGCTGTTAGATAAATGTTGTCTGACCATGTTTAGCTCATTCTGCTCCATTTTTCCATTTATACTTTGCATAGTAGATTTTGTTCTCTTGTATTTGTTTCAAAAATACCATAGTGAAGTGTAGAAATGTAAATGTTCTCATCCTCACAATCTGAGCAGTTGAGCACATTAAATAAAAAGCTGCTTTCGCAGCAGCTATTTTGTGGGTTTTATGCAAGATGTTCAGTGTCCTGTTCTGTGCTTTGATATAGCAGCTCTTAGAGAAAATATATTGCAACATGAATTTATAGCAAAACTTTATACACTTTGTCAGCTAAAACATGCTGGGAGCAGGGAGGGAAGCAAACTGCTGTAAACTCCTATAAAGTACTGAAAGCTTCTACTTTTCTTCCTTTCTAACAAGCGTAAACTACTGAGGTTAAGTAGGTGGGGCAACCGGAAGTAATTACTAAGGCCAGTGGCATTTTTGCGGTTTAATAAAGGCAGAAGCTAATTATTCAGTTTTTATTTAAGTGAAATGATGCCAAAAAGGAGGTTCCTGCAGAGCAGCTGCACTCCTTCAGTGTTACCCTAATTTACCACAGACACAACTGTCACAAACAGAACTTTTAAACTTGATATATAGCCACGAAAGTAAGGAGTCCTTTGTCTGGAGTGCATGCAGAAGAACTCCTTTATACAAATCAACCGGCAGATGACGGACAATGATGAAAATTTGATTCTTTGAAGTCATAATGGTCATTGAAATGTGTGAAATTCTGGTATTGAAAAGAGAGCGCCTAGCAAGGCTCTAAATCCTGGGTGGTTGCTGGAAGCTTGCTGGGAGGTTTTTCTGTGTTTTGACATTAACTTCCCATTGCTTGTTCCCTGTTTCCTTTATTAAAAAAAAAATGGAGGAGGGGTTTAAACAGTAGATAGTCAATAGCATTTATGGACAGTGTTTGTCTATGCATGGAAAGAAATGTCATAATAGAAGCGTGACATCTTTAGGCACACCTGACTCATCTGTTGAAAACTCCTTGTTTACAAAGATATTTTAAATGCCTTGGTTGCTCTCCCTGGCATTACAGAATTCATCTTGGTGTTTCCTTTGGAATTTGTGCTGCTAGTGGTGTACCTAATGAAATTTTCGTTTCCTTCTGAAGTCACCGTTACACTGAATGTTGCTTTCGTTAATGCTGTATCTGTGAGCCAGTGTTTCTTTCTGCTATACAGCACTTTTAGCAGCTTCTATTGCTCTTTCAAGAATATATTTACCAGGCTTTCTACCGTGGCAAGTGTTCTTAAATAGCGTAAGTTATAATAAAGACAAAGTCCTCTTGATTTTTAAGCAATGTGATGTGGTTTCTGCTGTTTAAAAAAAGTAAGAGTGTCATTTTTGTCTCTCAACTTATTCCAGGAACTAAAATGCCTCTTAAATTGTTATTTTAAAAGCTCAGAAATTACTATTAAAAAAAAAAACTATATATGTATTAAAAAACAATGTCAGAATGCAGTTTTAGACGACAATCTGCATTAAAAGTGAGGTGTTCTTAATTTTTAGCAAAGTAAATCTATGCAGTTCAAACCAAGTCTTTTAATACAGTGTGTGATACAGCTAATTACTTAGAATTTTTGATGCTGAGAACTTCACTAATATTTTAATATGCTAATAGAGCAAAACTCAGTAAGGAGCATTAAAGATGGCAATGTGAAAGTTGCTGTCAAAAACATCTTTGTTTTGGAAAGCTGGTTCACAGGTAGCTTCAATGAACTCAGAACAAAGCACTGAAGACACAGTAGAGAGTTCAACCCAGTGCAGCACAGCTCTTTTCAAGTATTATGTTGTTTTAATGGAATCTTGGAGCAGGAGCTTTAGCCCATTGAAGTGTCGCTTAAAGGATAGGTTCTTCTGTCACTAGCTGGAACTGTGTGGATGAAATGATCACAATAGAGTGTTGTAATGCATTTTAAAAGTGTGAGAAATCAGTTTGTCTAGACTAAGAGTGCGCCTACAGGGAATAGGAATTTTAGAGCTTCTGTGCTCTTTAGGTGTCAAGTATGTGATAGATGCCAAGCCTTTTTATTCCATATCTTTGGCAACAGCTCAGCTATGCTACAGTACCGTACATGTCTACTGCAAGCAAAAACAGTGATTTTGTGTCAGGACAACTTGGGCTCCAGAATCCAGAAGCTCATTGTCCTAACAACTGTCTGTTCAATTGCCAGCTTTAAACTGGGGAAGATATCAATAAACAATAGCTAGATTCCAAGAAGGCATGGAAACTTTAGCTGTAATGAGTCAAAGGATGAAGAGCTAGCAGCCCTGAGTAGTTATTTTAAGTCCTAAAAGTAGGCAGGTTTGAGTTTTCACCTTGAAAGATTTTTATGGGATGAATCTCATATTATTAGTAAAATAACTTTGATTCGGAGCCAGTCGAGTGCCCAGAAATGTGTCCTTTACCATACGTGGAAAAAAAAAACCCTATTAAACATAGTAGTTAGTGAGTTCAAATAAGAAAACTTTAAGCTATTTCTTTCTAAAACTGTGCTTTAAACTGAAGCAGTTATAAATGCCAGTCTGTCAAGATGGTTTTTGTGTATGTGTTGCTATGTTTTGGTAATTGGTAATGTTTCTTTTTCATGTCCTGCCCAGACTTATGCTAAGAAAAATATATATGGTCCTAATGAAACATTTATAATTAAATTCTAAAGATGTTTTGACAGTTTCTTGTAGGTAGTCTGAGTGCAACTTTTAGAATTTCAAAATTTTCTGTGTATGTGTGTGTTGTAAATGCAAGACAAATACTTTAAACTTGCTCCTTGGTGCAGTTTTAAGTGATTGATCTCTCAAAGTTTTTTTTCTGAAGTGAAATGAAAAATGAGACACTTCTCATGTCAGGGGATGATCTAGTGACAGCATCAAGAGCTCTTAAGTTGGCCACAAAACAAAATGCTGTGATGTTAGTATCTACAGATGCGTAAACCCACAGTGTTTTATTTAAACTTGTTTGCCTTTTCATTCAAGTCCTGCCCCCGCTAGCGAGATGAGCTCCATGTGCCTGACGTTCTGCTACACGTTTTGGACTTCTACCAGGTTATGGTTTTTCCTGGGAAGGGGAAAGACCCAGGAGCTACCACTGCTCTTTTAAGTGCGTGTCAGGAGCAGTTTAGTATCCTTAGAGGAAGTATTTGATGTTTGAGTTCACTCTCTTTACTGTACTAGGATGAACTGACAGGTTAATTTTATGTAATTGCTGTTTATTTTTTAAAGATAAAGTTCACTTTAATTATATCAATGCTTGTGAGAATAATTTTTCATATCAATTCTAGTGAGGTTTTTCTCCATCTTACTCCTTGTTAAAATCAGCTAATATTTTTTGATTGTTTTTATGATACTTCAGTTTTATCTTCTGTTCAGTTTATTTGTTGAGAACGCACAACTGAAGCCTTAGTAGGAGGCCATCGTCCTACCAAATTTATAAGATTTTATAAACTGTTTTCTTTGCAAGTTGGAATCTCCCAAATCTTCTGCTTCACAAAATTACCCAATAATGTTATTGGTATCAAATGGTGTGAAAGCTTGAAAAAAACCTTCCCTATCAAAAGTGTCATATCACTACTGTGACTTTTTAAGAAATCATAGAATCATAGAATGCTTAAGGTTGGAAGGGACCTCTAGAGGTCATCTAGTCCAACCTCCCTGCACACGCAGGGTCACCTAGAGCACGTGGCACAGGACTGTGTCCAAGCGGGTTTTGAAGATCTCCAGAGAAGGAGACTCCACAACCTCTCTGGTGGGCTCAAATGAGGGCTCAAACTGAAAAAGGGACTTGAGAAATTGTAGGCCTGGATGTTTCTGTGCTTAACATTAGAGCCCCTGGTCTTGGCAGGATTAGCAGTGCTGTATCAGATAACTCCTAATCTGCATATGTTGAATCTGAGTGCTTAAATATATATATGTGTGTGTGTGTGTGTGTAGTTCTGCACTCTGAGATCTCTGAGATGGGGAACTTGTAAGTTATCTGAAGAGATCTGAAATATCTGATTTTTTTTTCTTTTCTTGATCCCGAGCATTAGTGAGTAGTGCTGAGAAGTGACTCTGAAAAATAGATCTATAGTGTGACACTCTTAACCTTGCCATTTAAAGAAGAGAGATCAATTTTATGTAATAACCTATTGGTTAGAGAAGTAAGAGAGCTGAATTCTAGTACCTGTTCTACCATCTCGACCAGTTTCATTGTGGAAAAGGTAACCAACTGCCTGCCTCTTCCTTCATGCCAACCACAAGCAAAAGTCCTTCACTGAAGCACACAGTGAGCTAGATGTGGTTTTAGGGAGCAGTACCATTTATATGAGGCTTAGGCTCTCAATATTAACATAAAACAACCATTTTTGTCAGTCTGAGCTCTATTTTTTCCTCAAAGGAGGTGGGGTGAGGAAGAGTATATGTTACATTTCCACGTCTGCTTTGCTGGTCTGGAGTTGGAGCAGTGGTGACTTCATGGCTGTGGTCTGAGGGTTGGAGAGACGTCCTGTCCCTTCCCTGGCACTAGGAGTTGTGCAGGATGGGGTGCACGTTCAGATAACCGGTCTATACAAAATCTAATTCAGTCCAAGGAAGCAGGATGATGGAAACTCCAACCTGTGTCAGCTTCAGTTTTATAAAACTGCTCTCATAATGGTTATCTTGTGAATTTTTGTTATTGTAATTAAAGAAAAAATGACAAAACAGAGTAAAAACAATAAACACTGTTATTTGACAAGCCTTTTATGTGAATCATTTTTAACAAAATTAATTGTATCTTTCCTAGGATATCACTACTTTAACTGGTGTTCCAGATGAGCACATCAAAACCAGAAAAGTTCACATTTTTGTCCCAGCACGTAATGCAATGCAGGCAGGAGTTAACAACACAAAGAAGTGGAAGATGGAATTTGATAACAGGGAGCACTGCGAGAACCCTTTAATGGGTTGGGCATCTACGTGAGTAGTTACTGAATTTGGATATATTTTCCTCCTGTATTTGTTTCTTACAGTTGTGTGAACTTAACTTTAAAACCTTTCTACCTGTCAATCTGCTTGTCTTTTAATGTACCTACAGTTGGTAGCTGCAAGTTGCTCACATGATTAATGACCTATTATGATTAAAAACAGATTTTAGCTCAAAAAATCATCTGGAATAATCTGAAAACAAGCGTTAACAGAATGAAAAAAAAATGCAACTATTCCATTTGTGGTGATGTTGTATGTCAGCAGCAGGGAAAGAAGGTCATTAGTTATTTGAAGCAGTAAATCCTTTTTAATGACCAGTTGCATGTTTTTCATTAGGTTAAACATAAAATAGTGATTATCTAGCTTCTGAAAATTCTGAATGAAACTTTATGAAGCTAAAATAAAGAACCATAACTATTTTTTAAAATCTTTGAAATCATTACACTGTTTGTCTTGGTGCTTCAATAATTAATTCTCTTTATAATTAATAAATGTAAAAAAATCTTAAACATGCCCAAATCCAGAAAATCTAGAAAAATACTAGCCCTAGCTAATTAGGTTATGGTTTAGAGATGTAAGTATATATAATATGCTCTGAGAAAGTATTTTTAGATTTAATATTCTAAATTCAGACATGGTATTAATAATTTTTAAAATAAGTAAATATTATTGAATTACTGAAATACTATTCAACTCTGAAATCAAGTCTTCCTGTTAGGTTGGTTTCCCACTAAAATGAACTGAGGATACTCATGACCTATAACATCTCTGTTGTATTTGTATTACAATTATTTTACAGTTATTTCAGTTATCGGTACATTAGAGAAAAAAATTGACTGACAATTAAGATAACAATTGTATTAAAATATTAATTACATTAAAATACCTGTTTTACAACTTGAAAACTATGTATTATTGGCTACCTCTTAACCAGGTCCACAGGTTTCTAACCTTTTCATCTTAAGCATATTTAAACTACTGTTTCAGAAGACAAAATTTCAATTACTTAAGATTTGGTGATTCCACTACTGAAAGCAACCACTACATTTAGCACGGTTGTTTTACAATTGCTATATGGTTGGGTGATAAACTGTTGTCCTACAAGATCCCTTTCCCTCCATCCCAAAGTGTCTAGCCATTCAAGTATGGTCTATTTATACCTCTGACCAGATTATGATATTGTAGCAGGTGTCAATAACACCTTCTTTAGTCCAGGTTGAATTTAACTTTTCTTTTAATACTCCCTTTGCTTTTCAGCTGACTTTATCTTCCCCAAACAAGCTATTTTCTGGGTGGGGTTTTGTGTGGTCTCAGTCAAAATAATGGCTTTCAACCTCTCTTAACAATTGTATCCATTTATTCCAAATAAACCACCTAGAAAAATGAGCTGTGCTAGTTCATCTGTTAAATTATTGTGGAGTAAGCTTATTCTGTGAATTTAAAATGGAAAAGCTATTTTGAATGACTCACTCTGAATACAGTTTTATTTGGGTATAGGGGAAGGGATATTTCCCATGTAAACAAGCTCCAAAATAGGCCAGAAGTGAGTGCCGTATTGTGAGCTGACACCACTGGGTCAAGGGTTTTGTAAACTGGTTTATGTTTGTTTGTTTTTTAAGGAACTCTCCCAAGGACTATTAGTGGACATTCGGGTATTTTAAAATTACTGTTCAACATCCAGAAATATCTAAGAAAAAATGTCTTCTTTTCAGATCTAACTTCTGCAAAGATTCTTCTGCTGGTAGAAGTATTTCCATTTACTTTTGAATAGTGTAGTGGGATTAATTAATTAGCTCTTTTCCTCTGTGTTCCAATTTACTTAAAATCCTTACCCGTATGTCTTTGCTATCTTTCTATCATGTTACAGTCTCATTTGCTTTTTCCACTGTATTTTTATCACCACTTCTTGGATTTTTTTTCTCTTGGGAATTACCTGTTTGGAGAGCCAAATGAAATGACCCCATGACATTTTCTGAAGCTGTCATTGCAGGATTGCCCATGGATAGTTATTGAATATTTCTTTTAATACAAAGTTGTAAACAAAGAAACATGGGAAACATATGGCTTGCATTCTGTAGAATCTCATATGAGAACAAAATGTAGAATCTCTGTAATAATTGATAGAGATCTTAGAAGATAGGAAATTCTGCAGCACTATCATTGCTAAAGGCTCTCAGGACATCATGCTCTCTCATTCTGAGCTCCACAGTTTGCTCGCGGATTATCAGAAATGGAAACATATGAATAGCTCATTTATGGAAAGAAATCAAGAAGCTGTATTAAATTGGACGAAAGATGATCCTACATGAAAATAAAACAAATCATTTCTGTTCAGTCCTCATTTCCAAACCACTTGTGTCCTGGAAAGTTTTTCACCAAACTCCTACAGTACAGGCACAAATCATTTGCTACATCTCGGATGGACACACCTCTGCTTCCTGGTAGTATTCCTATTAAGTAGCATCATTTTCCCACCCCAACATGGAAGAAGGGAGCAGTAAGCAAAAACTGTCACAGTACTGCAGGATTTTGGTTGCTTAATTCTCCACTGATCACAGACTAATTCATAGTTACTGATTCTTACCACCCTTGTAAGCTAAATTTTTAGATTTCTTTAAGAAAGCTTATCTTAGTGGCTTGTGCAAGTGTAAATTCTGCCTTTATCCTGTTCTTATTTTAGTGGGAAATATATTGGATAGAGAACTCCATTTGTTCCATGTGTGCATCAGATAAAATTACACTGTTGTCTTTGCTGGAAGCTCAATTCCCCCTCGTCCCCTCCTCCCCACTTCCCATCACAGGCTTTGTCCTTCATTGTAAAGAGTTCAATGTATCTTTGATTGCTTTTTTCTCTTCATCTATCCTTATGGCTTCAAAGCAAGAGAACAGTTGCACGGCAGCCCCTTCAGTTGCTGCAGTTTGAACTTGTCTTGTCAGTCGTCTCCCAGGCTCCCAGTGTTGTCTCAGGGAAGTATTATGGAAACACTTTTGCAGCTACAGCAGATTTCTTATTTAATTTCCGTAATAATTTTGTAGGTGAATTTATAGAACCATTCTTGTTTTCATAAGTTTTGTTGTTTTTATAGCAACAAATCGAGTTTTTATAACATCAAATTAGGTATTTTGATTTTTACTGAGATTTTATATTTCAAATAGATTTTTGCTTGTGTTTTGAGAAATAGCTGATGATCTAAAAATAACCTCTATATAATCAGTTAGGTAGCAGCTTGAGTTCCTTGACTTTGTTTTAAGTTGAGGCCTGATATTTGATTGCTGTGCTTGAATAAATTATGGAGGTCATATGACTTCAGCTAGGTTGGGGTTCTGAATTTGTTCATGTACTTTTCAATTCCCGATTAATTCCTATTCTGCTTTCCTTGATATAATACTCTCTTCTGGCTTGAATTACCTTTAACATTTCAGTCTCAAAAAAGGTTCCTCGCACTGTACATAGCTTTCATATTTAAAAAGATTATTGCAGAGCACTTACGTTGCCTCCGCAGGTAACAATTAGACTTATGTGTTGAATAAAAAATGTAAGGCATTGGTTTCTGGAGGGAGCTGGGAGGGAATTGATTCAACAGACTCAAAGAGCAAAAGATTGTCTGCACAAAGTAAGTGTTAATCCTTGCAATAATTAAAAAAAAAAAAAAGGATTTTGCATGGCAGAAATTTGAGAATGATGCTTTTCAATAATTATACTAAAATAAATTGTTTAATACCGCATTTGAGTAGCACTTGAGATATGGATATGGTTAAGAATTTCATGTTTCAAATTTGCTTAAAATTTGTCGTCTGATTTCTTGCAGAGCTGATCCTTTATCCAACATGGTTCTTACTTTCTCTGCTAAAGAAGATGCCATTGTCTTTGCTGAAAAAAATGGTACGTATTAAGTGTGAGGGGTTCAGTTTTCTATAGACAATCTTGATAAAGAATTTCTGCTCTGCTTCACAAAATATTAGACCATTAGTGCTCTGCTTGAGGAAGTGTAAAATTTTGGGGAAGGGAGGGAGGAGGTTGTATTTCTGAGGGTGAGGAAGGCATTGAATCTAGACCTTCTACTTCCTGGAAAAGTGCTGCTACCTCCTAGCATTATTTCTGTAATACTTCTGCAATACTATCTGTGTTTTTAATGAGAACGGAGACCTGCTCAGGTCTGGAAGAAAAGGTAGTGTGAACGCTTTATCTTTGAGAGCATTCCAGATGGAGGGCCCCAGGGGCCTGGTAGTTTGATTTATTTATTTATTTATTTTCTTTCCCCGCTAAGCCTTGGCATGAGCACCTCAATACTGGTTAAGGAAGGACTATCACAACACCTGTGGATGACAATTAGAAAAGCTAAAATTAAGTGTCTACCAGCTCAGCATGGGCTTTAGTCTTCATTAGGTTGTGGTGTGAGTTAGACCTAACTATGTATGAAATGTGCATAGTATTTTCTGCATACTGCTCTTGTATTAGTGGCTTCAGTATCAGATATAGCTGGATGCATACATTTTACAATATTTCATTCTGCTTTTAGAAAGAAATGAGAAGCTTAAATGTACATTTACAGTGGAACTTGGCTTCTAAACTGAGGTACTAGTGTAACAGACCTAAGTCTAGGAACACAGTATTCACTTCTCTGTCCTTTGCATATGAGCCATCCAAGTTTTCATTAACAAAGTTCCTTAAGAAGAACCTCAAGTTTAGCTTCTGCAAATTTGGGGTACTGCAGCTATTTTGGAATGATTTCAGACTCAGCAAATCTCTCTCACACAAGCCCTTCAGGAACCTCAGGCAAGTTCTCTATCTTCCTGTCCCCGCTGAGGTATCTCCTATAGTAGTACTGAATACAGTAACAGGAGAATGGTGTGAAGCCAAAGCAAGAAGGTAATACTTGTAACTGCAATAAATGAAAAGTTTAGTCTGAAACCTAGGTTTTTTTTTTTTTTTTTTTCCTGCTTTCTGAAATCACTGATGCAGTTGTTTAAAACCACCACAACTTTAATAACAAGGATGTAGGGTTTTTTTTTACTCCACAGTAGCCTTTAATGAGGTGATTAGGATGTTCTCCCAGAAGTGGTGAAATCTGCTTTATACCCCCATAGTTTGTACACCCAAGTTCCGAGCAGCACTAACCTCCTCCCGCATTGTGGTATTTCTGTAAAAGTGACCCCTGCTCTCCGTCATGAACAACCAAACTGTTCCAGAGAGTGACACCTTATCACACACGGCTGCCTCGTGCAATCCAAAGTTAGGTGTAAGTTAGGTGGCTTTTGGATAGCTCTGGCAGCCCAAGTCACCATGCTGGCAGTTGCGAATCTCTTCGGAGTCCCTTCCCTTCTCTCTACCTAGTGTATAAAAAGATGAAGAGATAACTCAGGGCTGTAGATGCTATTCTGGGAGTCAAGGGACTCAAAGTTAGGTGTTAGAGTGCTGAATGTTGCTGATACCAATGTCTGTCTCTGGATCTTGTTCTGACTGTTTATTCAAGCTTGTATTTTAATCAGAACAGTAGGAGAAAATCGACGCTCTCGCAGATGGAAAGAACATGTTTTTCTTTAAATTGCCATCCCATGTTTCTTATGCAGAAAAGTAAACCTGGAAATTAACATTGGTTCAAATTGCTTACAAAAAAGAAGAAAATGTTTCTGCGGAGTTTGTGAACACAGAATTGAGGTGCAGCAGCATGACAACTAGTATATTTTACTACTCCCATTTTGATACGTAAACGTGTCTCGAGTGCTTCCTGTGAATAACAGAAAGCTTACTGAATTCAGCCATTGTGTGTACAAACATATGTATATGCTTTAAAAATGTAAAGATTCAGGTGTATGTCAAACATTTCAGGTTTTATCAAGTTTTTGTTTTAAAACTAAGGAGGAAATGTGTTCTCCTTATTAGTATCAGTTAAAACCGCATTCTTATACACTTCTAGCTTCCACTCCAGTACCTTAACTTTGAGTAAAATATTGCAGCTAGAGAGACCGAACTTTGGAATACTGAGTGCTGCCCTGGCAAATTTCCAGGCACCTGGAAGCTGCAACCCATCTCCATATTGATTTCCATAAACACTAATGTCTCCACCCCCTCTTTTTTCTGACTTTTTTTTTTTAGCATTTCTCTTGCTTAACTATCATACAATTTACTTGTCTTCTCGTTTTCATTGCCTTCTCTCTCACTCCCTATTTTTTATGTTCTTAAAAAAAAAAAAAAAAAAAAAAAAGTAAGTATCTTGCTCCTTTTCAATGCTGAAGGCTTTTTTAATTTGCTCTTCCTTTCTTTGGTCCTCTCACTGCTTCTTTTTTTTTTTTTTTTTGCTTTCCAAAGTCTCCTTTCTTTCCCATACTTTTCAGATTGGTCTCCTGTACATCCAGTCTATGTGATGTTTCAGAGTTATATAGCCATGAACTCGCAGGGTTGCACACAGAAACAGCCAACGTTCCCTGTTGAGGTTCACCGATGACTGTCAAGTTTTTTTCACTAATATATCTGTCAGGAGCAATGAAAATTGATATGCAGTATATGAAATATGAAGCATGACAATTATGAGAACAGGCGTATGTCACATTTATGGCATTTCTGTAGTCTCTGCTGCCAACTACAAAGGAATAAACTAGTGGGTGCCTATCTGGAGGAAAAAAAGATTAAAGTTAAAAGGTTTAAGTTGCATTTGCCCTGTATTATATGCTGTGCATGTTTAGAATTCTCTTTGTTTCTTGTCTTGTTCTCCCTTCCTTCCCCTCGCCCCCCAGGCTGGAGCTATGATGTTGAAGAGAGGAGAATTCCAAAACCTAAATCCAAGTCTTATGGTGCAAACTTTTCTTAGAACAAAAGAACAACGGTGTCTACAAAATAGTTTGGCATTGGCTATCTGTCTGACTGTTAATGTCAGCTGTGCTGTATTTATAGGCCATGTATAATACATCTCTTAATCTCCTAATAAATTTGACCTTTAAACTACAGATGCATCTTGTTATGTCTATTTAAAATGTTTTTGATGTCTCCGATTGAAGTTGTTGCAAACTTCCCTATATATAGAGGAGATTTGGTGTGTTCATACTTCTAGAAAATTGCTATACTAGGAATCTATCAAAAGGAATGTTTGAAATCAGCTGCAACTTTAAAGATTGTCATTTGTCTTTCATCAGAGCATTATTTTCAACATCTTGTTTAAACTTATCAGCCCTGTACATACAAACAATATCAGTAGAAGCTAATACCTTGCTAGACACAGGAAAAAAAGTCATCAGTCAAATAGTAAATTATTGTATACAGAAGTTAAAGTTAAGAGTATTATGTAGACTGTTCTTGAGAAATGTATGGTTTTTAAGATCCTTTCTGTGCAAATTAAAATTGTAATTATTCCAGAGGTGTTCATGGCTTGAATAGAAACCATTGTTTTTTTTTCATTAAACATACAGGAAGTTTGGTCCAAAAGACTGAGATTATAATTGTTTCTTTTTGATGCTTTTCAAAAATGAAGCTAAACTAGTTAAATATTTACAAATTACATCAGAAGAGCATCAGTTGCCTGCCATAGCATCAGGCCTATCAGTAAATATTATACCATATTAATTATATTTCTAGTTTCTTCTTGTTAGTTACATATTTATCTGCATTGAGGTTTCCTATTACATAAAAAGAGAGGTGGTGATGGTATTTCAACCTTAAAACTGAATATATAACCAAAACTTAATTTTGTGTTATATGACATTTAAATCATTAGTTATTATGATATACAGTATTATGTTTGGAATGCTTTGTCTTGCATAGATATTGCTTTTGATTTAATGCTTTTGCCTTCAACTTTTACTTAACATTTTGGCACATCAACTCATAATCACTAAATTGAATTACAAAGGGTGTGTTTTTGTGTGTATGTACTTCCCCAAGTACACCTTTCCTCATCTGCAACTGAGCATTTTATCATAACTTTCACAGAAGAAACAGGTCGAACACATGTATCTAATAAAGCTATGTATGCTATCCACGATATTCTAGGAAAAAGAAGGCTTAAAACTAATGTTGCCCAAATTTAATTATGTTCTTGTTTCAGTTTTAACCAGCTGTCCCACGTGCTGGCTAACATTTGTTTAAATCATTGTTTTTGACCCAGTTTTAGTGTAGTCAACCAGTTGGTCGATGTCATTACTTTCCCACCACAGTCGAGAACTGTTATTTCAGTTCATCTTTCTGTTGAATTTGGAGTTCTGCATTGTGCAGTGGAGCCTCCAGGAACACCAAAGCACACCAGACTGCAATCCTAAAAGTCCAGAATTTATTGCATCTCTTTTTCAGCTAGTCTTGTGTTCTTATTAATAAAATGTAATAATCTGTTCTTAATAATACTGTTTCTAGAAAGGGCTTATTCTCTTTCATTGGTATCTTAACAAGCTACATGTCACAGTGAGATCTAGGTTATTGTCCCCCAGGGGTCAGTCCTTGGTCCAGTCCTGTTCAATTTATTCATCAATGACCTGGATGAAGGCACAGAGTGCTCCCTCAGCAAGTTTGCTGATGATACCAAACTGGGAGGAGTAGCCAATTCAGAAGCTCTGTCAGATTAAACCATGTGTAAACCCCAATAGAAACGCTCACTTTTGCATAAACAGGTCATACAATAATGCAGATAAAGATTTTAACATGACATTTTGCATAGATCTTATCAGAGGGCAAACAGGTAATGAAAGACAACTGAACTGAAACCAGTCTGGTCAAAATTAAAAATATTCTTCCCCTCATATGAAGTTTCCGCAATGCTAATAATGACCATAATAATGAAGCTTTCAAAAATAGATGCTGCAACCTCTGACAGTTTGATGACCCATCAGCTTTGTGTCTATGCACTGTGAAAGCTATTCATAAACTAAAGCAACAAAAAACACTGGCAGTGCTCTCCATAACTTCAGGTCGAATAACGGGGGGCAATTTGCAAGTAAATTTGTTGTGTGAGGAGCTGGAGGTGACAGAAATGAGAATAGACTTTTTGTGGGCATACATACTGAAGCATCAAAAGTTCCACAGGAACTTAAGGAAAAATTTCTTGACAGTGAGGGTGACAGAGCCCTGGAACAGGCTGCCCAGAGAGGTTGTGGAGTCTCCTTCTCTGGAGATCTTCAAACCCGCTTGGATGCAGTCCTGTGCCATGTGCTCTAGGTGACCCTGCGTGTGCAGGGGGGTTGGATTAGATGACCTCTAGAGGTCCCTTCCAACCTTAAGCATTCTATGATTCTATGATTCTATTCTATGATTCTATTCACTTCAAATCTGGGTGGAAGTCTTTTACAGTTGCAGGTCATAAGTTTGCGTCCATAGCCTGGTGTAGAATGGGCTTTGGAGCCACTGTAGCTTGTTGGACTAACATGTGGCCTTATCAGCAGTAGCGTGTGTATTATTTTGTGAACATAAACATGGGATTCCAAACTGCCCAATCTTCCCACTTGGTGCCTTCCAGGTATTCGCAATTGAAGTCTTACTGATGCTGTCTGAGATACTTCAGCCTCCAAAATTTTTATAGATACAAGTCAGCAATGATCTCTGAAGAAACTGGGGCATCATAGGCCATTCATCTATATAACTACTTTTTCTTGTATGTGCTCTCCAAGGTAGGTGATACTTATATAACTTTTTTTAACAGCATTTGTCCATATGAAAATCCTGGTGCACAGATTTTAGGATGCTGGCCACTCCAGTATTGTGCATTCTGTCTAAAAAACAAACAAACAAACAAAAAACCTACCTATTTCCAGCTTTCTGTCATCTTTTCCCCAAGTTTCCTGCATATATTCTTGCATGATTGTGTTCCGTTTTAAATATACATTCATTTATGTCAATTCACTGATGATCCACCTCAGGAGCGCCCCAAGAGGAAAAAAAAAAAAAAAAAAAAAGTTTAGCTGGTTTAGCTGATTACTCTGACCTGTCTTGATCTGGACAATTTATTAAATTTCTCTTACTGAAGCCAAATTAAGATGTTGGAAATAAGTGTTCCTCCTCCTACTGCTGAATGCATGTAAAAATATCTAAGAAACCCTTTGCAGTATTGGACTCACTACAAAATGTAGGTGCATACCTGCATATACTTCAATATGTTTTGGATAGTTTGGGTGTGAAAAAATGAGGTTTTAAATTTATTTGCCGGATAAAAAGTTATTCTGAAGGTGGTATTCCTAATTTCAGTGAACAATTTCATATTATAACAGAGGCCCTGAGCTTCTTAAAATCATGATGTTGTAATGGATCTTAAACACTGTCAGGAACCTGAGTGCACTGGTTCAGTTTTTTAGCACTGTAGTGCTTAACTGTGCAGTTTGATGGATAATTTAAAACAAATCAGACTAGTTAAAGTGATATTATGAAATGGAAAATGTAATTATCCTTATCTGTGAAGTTTTGTCATGTGGTAGGTGGAAAGGGAAAAGCGAATTCAGACTAATTTTAGCTTTTGCTTGTAAATTCATGCTAGGAAATTAGGTAGTTTGGTTTTGCCAGAGATACAGTTACCTGACATTATGTTTGGTTACTGGGCATGCCAGCATATTTTGCTATTCCAAAAGGAAAAAATAGTGCAAATAAGCCTGAAATAAGCTAATAATAAGAATGTCTTTAGGCAGTTGTAAAATAAATTATGGTATGCCTGGTAATGGAGTTCTCCTTGAAAAATCCTTGTCTGAGAAGGAAAGAAAGATTTATATGAGGTCTCTGTTCCTTCCCCCCCCCCCCCCCCTTTTTTTTAAGGGCTTGATTAATGCTGGAGTATAACAACATCACCAGCATCAGAGGATTTTTGCAGTAAATGTCCTTACCTAGCACAACAGGTAAAATAATTTGATGTTAATTAGTTTGGTATTGTGTTAAAACTTGGATTTCTATTAAAGTGTGGGTTCTTCACATTCACCATGAAGATCCTAGAGAGGTCCATGTCCTGAAACAGTCCCGCACAAGAAATGTTACCAGTCCTTTTTGAACAAATTATTGTGAATAAATACAAAAGCAAGACAGTAGTCTTGCAAGAGTCCTAAAGGGATTTAAATATGAATTTATAATCTGTAGTTCAAATATTTTACTTAAAACTGCTTCTGTACCTGAATCATAGAAGGTGGCAAATGTGATGCCAGTTTCAAAAAAAAAAAAAAGCCTACAGACATTGCTGTGAACAGATATAACATATAAATTATGAATCATAATGACTTTTTTTTTAGAAGGAATTTGCTTTCAATACCTGTTCATGTTCTTCAGGGGAATTGGTGAATATAGGGGCAAGGTGATTCAGGTGCTCCTCTTGGAGTGCCTGACACGGAGGGGGCTGTTCTGTAGTATAGTGGTCGTACAGGCCACACTATTCTGTTTGACAACATTTTATGATTATGTATTTTCTTTGGAGGGATATAAGGTCTTAGTGTCTAAGATTACATTAATATTTAAATGAAATAGATATTTCCTGTTATACAGAATTTACCCACCTAAAACATCATAGTGAAACAATGTCTTTGCAAAACCCGATACAGTAACTACAGTTAGTCTTAACAAGATATTTAGTAAGTCAAGAGAAGTGAAGAAAACTTGGGAGGGTATTGTTTATTCAGGAATTAAGCCTATAAATACTGGAAGGTGGTTCTATTTCCCTGTGTTATGCAAATAACAGGAGAAAACTCTTAGCATGTATAGCAAGAAAAGCGGTTGTCCTTTAGTCTGATTCAATTGTCTCTAACAGCAATATACATGCAAAGCTGTGTTCATTCTGTTGAGATAATTTCTATGACTGAGTTCAAGCTGGTCATTGTTGCCTTTTGGCTTTTATCAGATATGGGAACTTAAACATCAAACTGAGCAATAGTGGAAATTTAAACCCTGAATTTAATGTTCATTACAAGTAGTCCTTAAGAAATTCTTTGCTTATTACATCACTTTTTCTAGTCAATTCTTGGGTGTTTCACCATTTTGGTTAACAGATGATGTGATACATTGTTGCCACGTAGACATTTTATCAAAATTATAGGGAACTGCTCAAAAAATGAAATTTATTTTGTACCTTTTAAACTGCAGACTGATTCATTAATATATTGTATGAGTCATGCAATTTTTAGCCTTTTGATGGTGCTTTTTTCCCCACTCTGATGTGACAGATTTCCATTTTATTGGTGTTCTAATATGAAGTTATTTCACCAGTCAGCAACCTGAAGTACAGCTTTTAAA